AGGTGCTTCTGGCCTGGTACAGGTAACTAACTGACTGAGGGAGGGCTCAGAGAGTCCTGGTGTCCTTTGAAATGTAAAAGCATTTAAGAACATTTATATTTAACACTAAAAATAGTTACACTAAGAGAAATTGGACCATTTAACTGCTCCAATTTGTGCATTGCAGGGCTTTTCTATATTCAATTTTAAAAGGAGCCTTTGAAATTCTGTAAAAAGAAATCTTACTGAATTCTTTTTCTTCCAAATATCTGCTGACTATACATTTATACATTTATACATTTTAGAATGATGAATCAGTTTTCAGATTTTTTTTTATAAAAATGATTGTAAGGCCTTTAATTGTAATTTGGAGTACTTTTGGATACTTAAAAAAATAAGATGATGTGCATCAACCATTTGGAGAAAGCTGTTCCCTGTTACAACATGATCATAAATATCTGCACAGTCCAAAACCTAAAAGAAATGTGTTTGTGAGTCTGATGAGGAATTACTAGACTTGCTTGGACAGAGTGGAGACAACTCCAGAACTTACTGAAAAAAACTATAGCTACTGAATCTCCGGCACCATACACTGAATGTTGAGCATGAATACTAGATGATACTAGATACTCCTAGATGTCTAGATGACAGCGTTTTAACATAGCATTGCAACAGAGTGCATCCTGGTCCATTTGTGCCCTTTTCCACATATTCATCTTTGTATCCAAACTCACTTTCAACTAACCCTAATGACAGAGGGTTGCCAGAGTGTGCATAACTTGTTACAAGCAGTCACACAACATCCTGATAAACACACGCAAGCCTAAAGCACGATGCAGGGCAAAGATAACGCTGGAATTTAAGTAAGAGGAGGACGAGATGATGAAGCTGTGTGAGGCCAGCTGGAGTGTGATGAAACTGATATGGCATCAGGGAGACTCGAACCAGGGGAAATCAAGCGAGGGCAGAAAGCATGGAGAAACGAAGGGAGGAGGAGCCGTGGCCAACAAGTAGAAAATCCTCTCATTAATAAAATCCACTGATGAAATTAGAACATGTAATCAGTCACATACACCTCCACACACGCGTGCGCTTCATTTCTTATCTCCCCATCTTCACCACTAAAAATATTATGTAGAGCATGTCTTTGATTAGAAATCTTCTATTCACGAGCAGACACAGATCATATCAAGAAAGAGAACGTCATCATTATTTAAAGCTCACTGAGACACTTTTAGATTTTAGTTGGGGAAAGGTCATTATTTCTGACTGCAGTATGGATTATGCAGACCAGTTTTCATGCTCTTCAGGTTTAAAGCTAAAAGTGATTCATCGCTAAATGAAAGAATACAACAACTTTGTTTTTAGTCAGACATTTGGTTTATTTGAAATGTTTATTAAAATGTTCCATGACAAACAGAAATGTCTGCACCGCACAAAGACACCTTCAACAAACTATAAAAATACATTTAAAAATAGCACCTTTTCTCTGGTAAGTAAACAAGCAGGCATTAACAGTAACACAACTCCCCACAAATAATGATAAAAACAGTATGTACAAAATATTGGCAGAATATTGCGCTTGATTCTTCATATTTAACAGATACGATAAAACTATATTCGTAATAATAGTCAAATATATTTGTGCTTGCATAGTTATTTTCATGGAGAGAAGTGCGAGGGGTTATTTGAGGAATCTGCGGGCTGGAGTTTTATTTAACGTTTGTATGGATAACATTAGAAAACTGAAGAAGTAAAGTTTGGATCAGCTCTTAAGATGTGCCGCAGGTGAAGACAGGAAATCACCGTTTCTGAAAGCCTGGTGTGAAGGCTGAGGCTAGTTGTATACATTTCATGTTATTTCTTTGTTTTCTTTTTCTTTTTCCAGGGTGTATGTGTTTACATCACGCTATTTAACCTAAATACTCTGTGCTGTTAACATGTAACATATGACGCCATTATCCTTTAATCCTTTAAAGCCATGTTTGATTCATGGGTTTTCAGTCTTCCACGTCATCACTGTGATTTTTTTCTCCCAAAAACCTGACAAATATGAGTTAAGTTAAAACTCATATATGCAAATCAATATTTATTTTTCATTTTTGTCATTCCATTTTTGGGGTTATTTTAACTGCTAACTCTAAATTGCCCATAGGTGTGAATGTGGATGTGAATGCTTGTTTGTCTCTATATGTTGGCCCTGCGACAGACTGGTGACCTGTCCAGGGTGTACCCTGCCCCTCTCACCCTATGATAGCTGGGATAGGCTCCGGCCCCCTCACGACCCTGACAAGGATAAGCGGAAGAGAATGGATGGATGGATTTTCAAAAAACTTTGAATGTTTTAGCAATTATTTCAAAGTTTAGGCTTTAAGGATTTAAAGACATTTTTTTTTAACTAAAACCTGTTCATGGTTTTAGTGTTTTAAATCAGTTCACAAAAAATATTGTTACTTTGTGCAGGTAACGCCTTTTGTTTCCAGAACCTACACCGGTGTCAACTTTTTCTTCTTTGCTAAATAGCACAGAGCCAGTTAAACAGTGTGTACATAGATGGAAATAGAGTACAACTACACCTGCACCTTATTACACAGCATTGTGTAGTTACCATTAGAGTGAAGTTCATAACAGATGCTGTTTGTCCTGTCGTCTAAAACAAAGTCATTCAGCGTTGCAAAGAAAAATTACATATAGCTTTTTTCCCCTTGTTTTTGTTTTGCTGAAATAACGTCATTTATTCCTGTGTATTTTCTCTAAGTTTGAAATGAACTGTGCCTTTTTAGCATTGTATTAGAGCGAGAGAGAGACACAATGTTTGCCAATATGTTTACTGTTTACAATCCTCTATTTTGGTCCTTTTGTGTTTCTATGAACAGAGCTTGTAAAGGATTGCAGTTTGTTTTTCTGGTGTTAAATTTCAAAATCAGAACAAAAAACAAAACAAAAAAACTAACTTAATGTGAAATATTTAGCAATTTCTTTCAGGTAATAAGTGAAACTGCAAGCATCTTGCAAATGATGAATAATGATTGCAACCTGCAAACAACAGCCTCCCTCAAACAACCTGCAAGTTACTGAAACATACTGAGCTTCACCAAATTGGTAACCTTCCTAAGCAGCAAGATGTTATTCCACTGTACGATGAGTTTGGCAGTTTAGTATCAATACTGTAGCAGTGTGCCACAAGAACTGCACTCAATACTGTGGTATGGTGGAATAGTTAAACTGAGATGTGTTAAAGTCAGGTAAACAAGCAAAAGAAAAAACAGACCTATGAGGCATTGCGGTCTCCCTTTTTAGCAGGGTAAAGTTTGGTTGGGTTAAAAAAACAAAACAACAATAAATAAACAAAAATAAAACCACCGACATTTGACATCATAGTGATCTACAAAAGCCTATCATCCTGTGGCGGAGGACGAGTGGGCCACAATCATCTCGCTGTCTTAAAGGGAGGAGAACCTGCACAAAAGATCAACTGTTAGCTTGCTTGCATTATATACTGGACTTAAACTAGTGTGTCTGTGTCTTGCTTCTATTTGTACCATCAGCCTCCCCAAGACAGGTCTCTTCACACTCCTCCAGGTGAAGGAAACGGTTGTCATTTCCTTCACAGCCACTGTAGATGAAGGGCCTGCAGGCTTGAGCCTGTCTGTTAAAATACCAGCGCATAGTGTACTTTCCACAGCTTCCCTCATCCATGGGCAGAAAGCACGGGTCTGCTGGAGCTGCAGAACACATGCATACATGTAAAACTTGTGCATATATAGACACAAAGAAAACGAGACCAAGGCAGCCCAGGCAAACAGGATCAGTGGGAATAAGAAGCAGCAGGAAACAAGATCATGAGATTGTCAAGCCAATCTATTTATTTCAACACTTCTTGTTTCCAAAGCAACATATTAACGCTTCTTTGTTTTTGCCTTATTTTGTTGGATGCATGCTTGTCTTTAATAATACTGTATGACACCCTTAAAAAAACAAAAAATGGACAACAGCAGAGCAGCCAATGCACCCAGAGACATACACAGAGAGACAGACACCAGATGGCCAGTAGTAAGGATGAATAAATCCCCAAACAGGATGACGAATGAGCTGGTTTACCTTCCCCTTTGACTCTCCTCTTGGACCTGACTGTTCTGGACTTGGCTGCTTTCAGATGTGTAACTTTGACTGCTTCCTGACCATCAGCTGTTGCCTGATCGTCAGCACTTGCTGATTTGTTAGGTTCAATTCTGACTGTTTTCTCAGATTTCTTTCTGTCAACCTCACCTGTCGACGCACACACAGACACACACAGACACACCAAAGAAACACAGCAAACAGCACAGACAAGGTCAACAGAAAATTTCTAAACACAATGGTAACAATGATAATGGGGGACAAAGACTGAACAATCCATGTTGTCAACATGACAGGTCACAGGCTCTGGATGGTGTGGGCTTGTAGTAGGCTGTGTGATAAATACTCAAGGGCAATAGAGTCTCATTATGATGAAATAAAAACAAATTGAAAAGTAGGCACATAAGATAAGCTGCTTCACCAGCACAAACTCAATTATGGCTTCAAAGCATAAATTTGGCATGCCTTTTTGGGTTTAACACGTGAAACAGAAAATTGTGTAGCACATATAATACATTTGGCAAAGGTCAGGGTCATAGTTACTGACTAAAAGTGACTTTTTCATAAGTATAATGACAGCCACTATAGTCAAATGAAGATTATTAAATCCACCTGCGGTAATTTTTATTTTGTGGCGTGGAAGCATAAGGTGCGGAGCACAGCATCAGCGGTTCCTTACAGGGGATTTATACTTTTGTGCTAATTTCCTGAACTGTAGATGTGTCGTAGACCAAACTTTCTGAATGCCAACCCTATAACCTGATCTGTACCTCACAGTAACTACTGTGACCAAATGGCACTGTCAATGCAGCCACACAATGATGTCAGCTACTCCCCACATAGCAAAATTGGTATGGCCCAGATCTGGCCCACACAATGTGCTTACACATGGCCCACATACCGCAAAGAATGACGGCCCTTTGGAGGCCCAGATCTGGTTTGCCAGATGTGGCCCACACATGGGCCAGCACAAGGCCAGTTGCAGACACACTGGTGGTCCTGTGCTGGCCCATGTGTGGGCTACCTCCGGCAAACCTGATCTGGGCCACCAAAGGGCCGTCAGTCTTTGCAGTATGTGGGCCATGTGTAATTTGTGTGCAGCCATGTGCCAGTTGCAGACACACTGCTGGCCCTGTGCTGGCCCAGAACAGTTTCAGCTCTGGCCCCAGATGTCAGCCTAATGTGTACCTTAATCAAGCCATGTAATAACAACATGTGCGAGAACATGCAAAACAGTGCAAAAGTAATATGACAAAACCCTGTTCAAACAGTGAATGGACTGATTCTTATATAGTGCTTTTCTAGTGTCCCGGATTACTCAAAGTGCTCTATAGAACATGCCACATTCTCCCAATCCCATACTTTCTCTAAACCGAGTGCTTCCTAACTACACACTTGAAAAAACAGAAGACCAAAATTACAGCGACTATTTGTGACCTCCTTGCTTTTGAAATGGTTGTTTCAAAGATGGGGACTAAGTCTGTGCGTCAAGACAGTAAAATGATAAAAAGACGGAGTTACACTTGTTTTCTATGTTATAACTTCACTGTTCTCCACGGCTGTCTGACGGACCAAAAACAGCACAAGTGAGAGTAGCCCACAAACCAGCTGTGCCACATACTTTGAACACTGCCTTCATCAACAGTGGATGCTCTCTGCCAGCAGACCCATTATCCATGAACTGCCAGCAGACTGCGATAATGCTATCACTGTTGAACTATGATTGCAGCTTTAGTCTAACTAATCTTTACTAGTTTGAGTCAAATTGACAATTACATGAAATTTTTGTCTGATATTACGGCGATTAACTGTGATAAACTGCAAACAGTTGCAAACATGTTGCAATCTGATGTAAATGTCTTGCAGTATACATCCTAAAAGGTATTTATTAAGGCGTATTCTGGATCTCTATACCAGTTGTGATGGTGCAGAATCAGAATCAAATCACAGCTTAAATTAATGTGCACAGTTTTCTCAGTCTCATGGTTTCTCTTCAGACACAAGTGATGAATTCAAACGTAACACAAACAGTTTAACATGCCAGAAGTAACCAGTTACCACTATTTAATCTGCTGCGCCATTTAACTTCAAGATAATGTCAATGTCAATGTTCAGTATCAATTAAATAAAGACAACAAATTTAAAGACACCCTTAGTAGCAAGGGTTTCTAACTACGGGACATGACACACAGGTGCCCCAGTGCATAACTGCAATCCTCCAAGTTGAAATAAAAAGCAGAAGATCTCACTTTTGGAGGCAACTCTTCCAACAGTTTCAAGATCACCACCCACACACTGGCAGTATGTCTGCTTTCAAGAATTAGACAGTGAGTATTTGCAAACCTTCACCGATCTGTCTGTGAGAGGTTGCAGTAAGTCTGAGTTAGGCCGCTATTGTTTGACAAAACTTTTGAAAACACGTTGCCTCCAGTGAGGTGACCTGTGCAATTCTCCTGCAATCTAAACTGGTTGCCACAATTACTTGCAATCGGTCACCAACAACAAAATAATTCAGTGAAATCATTTGGTAACCACTGACTTTTCCTAGTCACAGAGAGACTGCCATCCTGTTTTTACTATGGTGTAATGGAGGCTTAAAAAACAGACCATGACACTGATTAATTCAGACATAGCATGAGTTGGTGAGATGGGTTTCCAATAGGTTTGCAGGAGCAACTTTAGGCAGAATAGATGCAGTTTGATCACTGTGCTCTCTATGAAGTTTGCCAAGTGAATGCATAGAAAGCTATCAGCTGACACATCATCACTCCATTATATAATGTGGTTATATTCAGTCATGATGGCCAAAAATGTTAATTTATTGCTGAAGCTGAGAAGTTGAAGGATACTGTTCTCTCTTCACCCATGTCTACGATACTAAAGCATGTTACTTTAGGAAAACACTGGAAATAGTGTAAAACAGAAACTACCATCACTCTGGTTGGCCGAGGGAGATGTGAAGTAGAGCATCTCCTCCAAGGGGTCGTCATAGGATTCGACGGAGTAGACATGCTCGTAGTCTGGGTCATTGGTATTTACCACCATGTGCAGCTCACGGCCTGAAAGAAGAGCAGCATCAGGCAGGATCATCAAAGACATCAATGACAACCTCTAATTTTTGGACTGAATGAGGTCTGAAAATAACTGACCTCAGTAAAACAAGGCCCATACTCTACCACTGTATTTTTCTTTATGTAATCAGACGTATATATTATTTTGTCGGTAGAACAGAAATGGAGTTCTCTGTTTTCTTGATGAGAAAACCACCCAAATGCTCAGAGTTCTCCAAATAAAGGACGACCAGTTAAATGTGCTTGTTAGGACAGATACATGGACAGACTGGAAGGAAACACTCACCCTCCTCACCCTTCAGCGCCAATTGTTGCTCTGGTGTAGGCAGAGCCCTGACTGGCGGGTACCGAATGTTCGGACCTGAACCTGGGAGAGCCAGATAGGACAGGGACACCGAGACAGGCACAGGCAAAATTCAGAAAGCAAGAGGGACAGGGAAAATGTTACACAAGGGAGAAAAGGGGGGTTGAAAAAGCAAAATGGTGAAAAAAAAGAGAGGACAGAACATTCTGGTAGTAAAACATAAGCCAACAACAACCCCAAAGTACCAAAAAAAACATTCCACCATTCCAACACAGACACCAGCTTAAAGGATTCATTGAGTTTTTGCAAGACTTTGTCACTGTAGGAAAAGCTCACAAAAACTGGTTATAATCCTTTAAGGACTCAAGTCAGTGCTATAAAGACTTGTGTCACTCCAGTCAAAAGTGACTGTAAACTAAAACTATTACAGAGTTGTTCAATATTAAACATGCAGCTATTTCTTAGATAATAATACATCAGCTAAACATGAGGTAAATTTTGTGTTGGCCTCAAACTTGCATACTGTATTTATTAACAGCCTGCCTCACCAACACTTATCTCATGCGGGTGCTGCTTCATAACACTGATGTGGTCTTGCATTGATTAACAGCTCGAGCAACAAACACATTAGTGCAAACTCTGGGAAAGTTTATCAGTGGAGGTTCACATCAGCTTTCATTTGATTCATTTACTTTAGCATATTCCATGTTATTTACTTTTACAGAAATATAATAAATCAGGTATTAAAAATCCCCAAACAGGACAAAAATGAAAGATTTTTTTCAAGATTTATCTGAAGAAGCCGAACAAACTTTCAGTAAAGTTATTTCGTGAAAACCACTGATATTATTTATACCATCATCTGTTAAAAAAAACTTCAGTAAACACCTTGTTGCTCACGGTGGCTTAAGGTGCAGACTTCAAGCATTTTTTTTCCGAGGGACTGAAAAAAATAGTGCACTGATTTCTGCAATGACCAAATTCCAGCAATTTTTATACATTATCTTATTTTGTATCCTATTATCAAAGACTCAAGTTCTCCAATTACACTTGGAGAACAAAATTCAAATGTTAAAAAGAGTTTCATGACCAGGTCTAAACCATTTCTTCATTATTTCTTCCTATTTTTATGCAGGAAAAGGTCTGGAAATGATTGCAAGTGTGGCATTTACATTAGGCAGCAGTGGCCACAATGCACCAAATAGCTCCCAATGCAAATAAAAAAGGGCATGCTTGCAAAAACAAAGCAAATCAATTATCCAGCCACTGTTAGGAGTCTCAGAATAAATAGCTTGGTGCATACTGACAAAAAGAACATACTAGTGGGCTAGACTATTTAAAAGCCAAGCATAGCCACACAAGATAATAGTGATTGATAAGTGCAATATCTCATTTATGTTGAAGAAAAACATCGTCACAACATTTAGTTAATTGAAGAATATTCTCCAAGAAATGGGGATATTGTTATCACCGTAAACAGAAGTCTTCACAGGAAAAAATATAGATTCACCAGAAGTTGCAAACCATTTATAAAACTCAACAATAGAAAGGCAAGGTGATGCATGAGCATGAATAGGGTCCAAGGACACTGAGTCATTGTTTATTGATGACATGACAGAAGGCAGAGGCAGCTGGGTGAATTTGGAAGTAGATGTAAAGAGTCAAAAAGAAAGTTTTCAGTCCTCTGATAAAGTAAATGCATCATTACTGCTTCAACAGGAATTAAGAGGATAAGTAGCAGCAAGGTGCTGATAATCAAATGCACTGTTGTAACTGATCATCGGTAAGTGTGACCACATTTATGAAGGCGTACATTTTGACGTCTGGAGCTTTCAGATGTGTTTTAACACAATGCCACCATTTTCCTATAAGCAAATTCACCCCAAGGTCAAGCATGGCAGCTAAGCTGAACCTGAACAAACCACATACGTAAAAACAGAAAAAATCGCTGATGTTGGCCATAATACACATTGTCACGTTTGTAGAAAATCAAACACAGCTTATCACCAAAAACACCTCATACACGTCAAGTCAAGAACGGTGGTGGAGCGCTGATGATTTAGGCTTGTTTTGTGGCCACAGCACCTGGACACGCTACGGTCACTGAGTCAACCACAAGTATTCTAGAGCCAAATGTGAGACCATCTGTCCGACAGCTAAAACTTGAGTGTAAGTGAGTCAAATGGTGGGACATTGATCTCAAGCACAGCATAAAATCGACAACAGGATAGCAGGAAAAGAAGATTTTGCAATGGCCCAGTCAACCTGATTGAAATGCTGTGGTGGGACCTTAACAGCACTGTGCATAAACAGACGCCACATACCGCAATGAAGTGAAGCAACACTGTAAAGAAGAGTGAACTGAAAGTCCTTCACAACCAGGCTGCAGACTAGTAAAGTCATACAGAAAATGATTAGTGCTGTTAAAGGTGGTTCTGCAAGTTAGTGAATCATGGCGTGTACTTTCCTGTTCACATTACTGCACATGGAAACATTCAGCCATATGCACCAAAGCTGACAGGACGGATTCTCACAGAACAGATGGGCAATGACTCAAAACATACTTTGAACAAAATCCAGGAGTTTTTGAAAGTAAACATTGAATATTCTGCAGTGGCTGAGTCAGCAATTGATGTCAACCCAATTTCAGTACTAACTACTTAGCACTAAGTCTGCACTCTAAGCCAGCAGTCCCCAAACCCCGGGCCTCGGACCGGTACTGGTCCGTGAGTCATTTGGTACCGGGCCGCGAGAGTTGAGGCTCGGGTGTGAAATGTATGGTTTTCAGGGTTTTTAGCTTTATTTTGTTATCGTTTTTATCATTAACTCGGTTTTCCTGGGTCTTTTCAGCGTGTGTTAAGAATAAATCTTCTTTTTTTGGTACCGGTACTAGTTTTATTTTGTTGTATTTATCCGCGACACCTTAAAGGCCGGTCCGTGAAAATATTGTCGGGCATAAACCGGTCTGTGCCGCAAAAAAGGTTGGAGACCGCTGTTCTAAGCCTATATTCATCACACGACTAGAACATGTTTTATTTTTTTTAAGTGCCAGTAAGCAAAAATGTGGACCTACTATCTGCAGCGCCTGAGAACACACCATTTATACTGTATATTTGAGTATGTGTATGCTTCCTTGCTAATGTTGCCAGCATATTTTGTTTTTTATCCTTATTTTAGCTAATGTTGTTCACTCTCAGCATTGTAGGGAAGTGAAAGAAAGGAAAAGAGGTAATGCACATGGAAACAAGATATAGTCTAAACCTTCATGCAGCCCACTTATTCAGAACGAATGCAGTTGAGGTGCTAAACAAGACAAAATGTACTTTTTGTCTTTATCAGATACCATGTCACCATCTATCCATAGTGACATATGTGTTACACTATATTACTGTGACTCATGCTAAAATCATAGCCCTTCTGTCAGCTTTTTTTTTCTGTTGCAGTTGAATGGCTCACTCACCTCCACACGCTGAGCATCAGACAGATGGACAGGAAGGAAGCACAAAGAGAGGGGAATAATAAAGGTCAGTTTAAACAGTCAAGTACGGTCACTACGGTTTCCAACCGCTCTGATGGAATTATATTTCCTCAAAGTTTAGCCATGGCTGTGACTCATGTGCTGTGATTAACATCTGAAGTTCGACTTGAGGACAACGCTGATATAAATTAGCAAAGGGAGTGCATGTAAGACTCACCACAGTGCTGACTCATCTCTGAGCGAACATACTCTCTGATCTCTTCCTCCTGAACCCAAAATAAGAAAGAAACAGGGCAAAACACACTTAGCAAAGACAACCCCGATATCCACTCCAAGTAAAACTGTGTGTGTGTGCGTGCATGTGTATCGTTTGATGTCTTCGGATTACGCCCCTGCGGTAAGGATCAAGCACTGACCGTCATGCCTGCCTCTCCTCTGTCTCCCTTGGCTCCATCTGGGCCCATGTCTCCCTGCAACATGGACAGGTATTAGGACTTATATGACCCACAGAGAGGCTTGCAGCGCATTAATTCATTAAAGTGAGACCAGGTGCCACACATGAAAGAACTTCACAGTCAAAGTGGAAGGTTAAATCACCAATAGTGACATAAGCTCTTAATACACAGGACTAGTATTTCTTGGGAACCTCTAATAATTAGTGATAACTAATATATGCCAATTCTACAAAACTGTTTGTTCAGCAGTGTTTACTTTATGCTGCTTGCAAAGTAATATAGTTAATCACATTTAGAAAAGTAAAAAAGAAAAGAAAAGAAGAAGCTGAAGATGTTTATATGATTAAAATGGTTCATTTTAGCCCGTTGCAATGTGTTTGCTAGGCATGCATAATTCAACTTTTGTGCATATAAATGAGATGTTATTGTCATGAACTTGAAATGATGGGATGCTTTCATAAAGTGTTTTAGCTGCATAAAAGCTAAAATAAAATTGCTAGGTGGTTGCCAGGCATTATAATGTATCATGTTTAATTCAACTTTTGTGGATAAATATTACACGTTACTGTCAGGAAACACAAATGTGATATAAGGTATTATAAGGTGGATTTTGTTGGTGACCAATTCCTAGAAAGAGTGAGTTCAAATCCAAACATACTGAACTCTTGAAGAATGATTTGAATGAGGAATGACAACATTTATTGCAGCATTCTGTAGGGAACATCAAAAATGGAGGCCAAGAGCACAATCAAGAAACAGACAGAGACATGTTTGACTACTGACCGGCTCTCCTCGCTCCCCCGGGATTCCTGGGATACCACGCGGACCAACTGCGGCAGGGCCAATTGGACCTCTCTCCCCCTGACGCACAGGCAAAACAACATTAATATAAAGTACATCCACAGTGGAAAGCATTCACCTAACTACCTTGTCCATTGCCCACATGATAAACAAACGGCATCTGCTTGTATCAGTAAAAGCTGTCATTACCTCAGCCAAGAAGGGTACGTTTTTGGTAGCATTTGCATGCCTCTTTGAGTGTCATCACTCTGACTATAAATGTGATAGCTTGGATTCTAATAAAACTTTGCAGGTATGTGGAGGTCGTGTTAACAATCCATTAAAATTTGGCTTACATCTACCAAGGTCTTCAAGGTCCGCTCAAGGATTTATTGTATGATTTATTTATTCTATGATTCTTAGTGTGTGGTGTGTAAGGTCAACATATAGAAACTACCATGTAAAGACCTAAAATGTCAAGTCACATTTGAGCTTTGACCTCTGCTTCAATGCCAATAGTTTGCTCTACAGACCTATTTATAACTATGTTTCTTACTACCACTGTTTCTACTGACAGCATTCAGGGATTTAGGACACGATATATGGGGATTCCTAAATACTTTGCACCTCTGACATGTTCAAGGTCAAATAAGGTCAAACATTTGTCTTTTATAGACATAAAATGTCTATTTTCTTTTTATTAATTACCTAATCCTACATAATGGCAGCTAGAAACTGAGCTGCCTTGGTGGAGGTTTGATGTCTCTAAGTGGTTCTGATATTCTGTCTCTACTGTGTCTCCGAACAAGAAGCAAGACGAACATTAGTGTGTTGATATACAGGAAAATAACATGACAGGCCTAGACAACAGTGTCTCAGTTTGAAAAAAAAAAAGCCTCTATCAGCAACATTTGGTTTTGCTCCATTGTCAACAGCTTTTTTTTTTTTTTATTTCCTTGATAATAAAGCAGACAAACCAGTCAAGTACAGGGCTCATCAAGCTGTCAATCATCATGAAGCAATACACAGAAACAAAAACAAAAAATGTGTCAAGTAAAGAAGAAAAAGTAAGAAAAAACTAAACACAATGAAAGAGAAAGACAAAAAGAAAGGGTTCTCTATATATAAAGCTTGCATCATATTTTTATGACAAAACTGTCATCATCTTTCATCTTTGTTGGCACCACATTACTCGAGATGCTTGGGTGCAGCTATTTTTTGCAAACAGTGACACAAGTGATACGTTCGTCTATTCTTTCTTCTGTTATACACATTTTTGTTTCTACTGAAAATTCTGCACAGTCACACTTAATGACGTAAAAATGAATTGTGATATAAATAATTTAAAAAAATATATATATATATATCACAGTCCTACATCCTCGTACATAAAACATGTGGCCAAAGTGTGGAAATAGAAATCATGAAGCCAAAGAAAGAATAGTCACCTTTTGTCCCTGGAGCCCCTCAGGGCCCTTAGCACCAGCTGGCCCTTGTGGGCCGGTCAAGCCGGGGCCTCCATCTGCCCCTCTGGGACCTGGAGGACCAGGTACACCAGGTAAACCCTACGTCAAACACAGAGACTTATTTTTATGTTTCTGTTGTTGTGAGGATGAACAGTGGTGCAGAATCTGTAGATTAGGTACATCACATGGCAAAAGGGAGTACTCTAATTTTAGATTTGTATGTGTAATGTGAGAAACTCACCCTTTCACCTTTCTCTCCCTGAGTTCCTTTGGGTCCTGCAATCCCATCAAAACCACGGTCACCCTACATCCACAAAGAAAAATGACTACACTGTGCATTTGCACTGGAATATGGAACTGGAACTTGAGTATGTGCAGAGCACAAACCTTGGGACCAACTAGTCCCTCTTTTCCAGGGATCCCCGGGGCCCCAGAAGGTCCGATGTCCCCCTACAAAACAAATGATGATGACCACTCTTAACAAAGGACACAAAGACATCCACACACCACACAATGACTTATTTCTTCAAATATTAGGCATACCTGTTCACCCTTTCTCCCTGGTAGGCCTGATCTTCCATTGGCACCAGCATTTCCCTGAAAATCGCACACAGCCATTATGCTCGACGCCATAAATACAAAGTGCAACCCAACCTAAAGAAATGTAATATGTAACCACGTAACAGCAGCAGAGTAACCACCAAGCAGCTTTAAGTACCATCAGCTTTTAACTAATATTAACATGATGTATTTGGTTAACTCATTATTTAAAAAACAAAAAGAAAACACAAAGCTTCAGAATTATTAAGTATAACTAAACAACTTCTCCGTTCATCTTTACATCTTTATTTCTCTTCTTTCTACCATTTCCCGTTTCTCTGCCTCACAAACTCACCTTTTCTCCCTTGGGTCCATCGCCTCCACAAATTCCCTTGGGTCCTCGGTCACCCTGGAAACACAAAAGTTTTTCACTGACAGACATAAAGATCTTTTGTGAGCCACAAAGTGCAAAAACCAGCAAGGCAGAAAGCCCATCCACTCACACTGTTCCTTTACCGAGCACTCACTGTGCACATGAACAAGCACTAATGCAGCATATTTCCTACAAAAACAGATATGATGCAGACCTTTGTGCTTTTTCTTTTTTTTCTCCTTGCAACGGGTATTCAGATAAAAATGTAAAAGTATGTAAAAGCAAATGTGACCAAACAACTGCAGCGCATTCTGAGAACTGCAGCTAATGTCTCTGACTCCCGTAAATCCGCATGTATGCCTCTGATTTCGATTGGATTTCTACAGATGCATATGGAGAACTCGGGTGATCTCCATTTCTAAATGTCTCCTGTTGTTATTGTTGGCATCCAGCTTACTGTTTTCACCATCCCCAAAATAGTCTTTTGAAACCACAAGTCACAAATGAGGGGGGACGTCACAGAGAAACCAACATTCACACTTCACGATCATGAGCTTGTGACTTAGGTCAGTTAAGTATACTCTATTTATGTATATTCATGTTTAACGTATGGCTTTGGGCACTTGTTGCTGTACCTATCCGGACTTCCTCGGTGCATACTGACAATTTGAAGCAAAAAATGTCAAATTTGGATTCCTTACTCCATAAGACCTCTCATCACTGATTTTCAGTCCAGTTCTTGTGTAATCTGGCATACCTCAGCCTGTTTCCCCTCCTTAAGAATGGCTTCTAGACAGCCATCCTTCCACATGAGACCATGTCTGAAGAGGCTTCAGTGAACAGCAGATGGATCAGCTGAAGGGCCATATGCATCTCTCAGACTGTTTGTCAGGTCTTTAAAATTAAATGAATTACATTTAATTAAATTTAACTTAAAATTTAAAAGTGGTTCTTTGATAAATTGTCTGTGATGTGTAGACAGCTTTGGCGCTGGTGCTCTTTTTAGGCTTGAATGATTTATAGGTCAGTGTTAAGTAACTCAACAAACAAACAAACAAACAAACAAAAGAAAAAAACATGCCTTTGAATTGGTTAGGTACAAGGACTGGACAGAAAATTAGTGAAAAAGCCCCCAATGCCCCCCCAAAATTTTAAAAGCCCCTTTAAAAGCCTAAAGAATTATTGCTCCATACCACTTTAAAATAGGGCAAGAAAAGCTGGATCCTGGGAAACAGAATATAAAGAAATTAAAAGCACCTCAAATCGATTCGTTTCCTTGAGTGAATATGTTTGATTTGCATCTTTTGTATGTATTTCACCTGCTGTCTTTATTTTTTATTTTATTTTATTTTTTTGTTTTACACATGTTACAGCAGTAATTCATTTCCCATACACAACCTTCCTTTCAATTAAAGTAAAACTGTTTCCATGCATGAAAAGGAGCAGGAAGAAGAATAAATTCTTATTGACACCTGCCCCCTATCTGTGATAATACAAGTAGGCACTTACAACTAAAATTACACTCTGACAATATTCTGCACATAACAAAACAAAACAAAGCAAACAGAACAATATACTCAACAATGAGCAATACCACTAAATCTCAAACTAAAAGGATCATTTTTCTACAATTAAATTCTATTATTTTCAAGTTCTTCATATTGGTTTATCATTTTATTCTTATAGCAGATTTTAAATGGAGAAACATTTGTACAACACTTATGATGATCACTGAGAGAATTCCAGTTTCTTATGCCTATGACTGTTGGACACATTTGCCTTTGTGTGGTTCGAGCAAACCGGTGCTTAAAATAAAACTTCCTTCTGCCATCCCCATTTTCTGAACACAATACAAATAAACTTTGTAACTTAAGAGGTAGTGTTTTATTTTTTGCCCTAAACATAATAGTTAATGTCTATAGCTATGACTTCTTTTTCAGTGATTTCCCCTAAAAACATAGACTGTACCACTCTGCTGTCTCCTTTCCATTCTGAATCACCCTGTTTTCTAATTAGGTTTGCCAGGTTAGGTCCAATATTTACAAAAAAAGAATTAAATTCATTTACCACTTCATTCATATCACTTACGACCTTATTTTTCTTATTAAAGTAAGTAGGTAAATTTAAAGATGTATATTTATTACCCAATACGTTTTTTAAGATATTCCACGTACCCTTAACATTATTTTTGTTTTTGTAAAATAATTTATTATAGTACTCTTTCTTAGCCTTTCTGATAATTAATACTAACTTATTTTTATAAACTTTATATTTCATTTCAGCAGGCTTTGTTCTAAGTTCTATATAATCTCTATACAATTTATTTTTCTTTTTACATGCATTTTCTAGTCCTTTTGTTATCCATGGTTTACCAGTAGTTTTCTTTTTCTTTTGCTTATATAATACCAGTGGACAGTGATTTTCATACAAAACCAAATAAGTATTTAAGAATGCCTCGTATGCAGCATTGACGTCATCTACATAAACCTCATTCCAATCTTCTTTCATAAGACCTTGCCTGAACTTATTTATTGCGTCATCATTTCTAATTCTTATATATCTGTCGACACACACTTCCTCCTTTTGTGTCATTTTATAATCTAAAGTAACAAAAACAGGTAAATGATCACTTATGTCATTTATGACAAGACCACTTATAATGTTGCTTTCCCAGCAATTAATGAAAATATGATCAATTGAAGTAGCTGACTTTTCAGTTATTCTACTAGGTTTAGTAATCAGAGGGTAGAACCCTCTTCCAAATAATAACTCAAAAAAAATCTGATGATGCCTTATGATTGGACATTTTTAAAAAATCAATATTATAATCACCGCAAATACAGAATGTCTTGTTTCCCTTTACCTTGCTCAATAAAACTTCTACTACATCTGTGAATGTTTCTATCAGTGTCCCAGGCCTCCTATACATACAAGTAACAATTATATTACTCTTTCTTTCCATTTCTATTTCTACTGTCACACACTCCATTAAATCATCAATAGCCACAGACATATATTCAACCTGTTTACATTTCAAATCACTATTAACAAAAAGTGCCACACCTCCTGCCTTCTTATTAGATCTGTTTATATGATGTAATTCATACCCATCAATGTGAAAGTCCCAACCCCTTTCCTCATCTATCCATGTTTCTGATAGTGCTATCACTTTAAACTTGCCTTTCAGATTATTCAAAAAATCATTGATCAGAACAAAACTTTTATAGAGGCTTCTACAGTTGAAATGAATTAATGAAAATGTATTGCCTAAGTCAACATTATCCCTAAATTGATTCTCAGTATAATACTCGCATGTAACATTATTGCATTAAGCACATTCCTGTCTGGATCAATATTATTTTCAAAATCATGTAATTTGTAATCCGAATCTTCAGTCATTGTGATTGGGTATTCTTTAAGTGTCTGTTATCCTTATGACATACTCAAGTATTTCACAACATATTTTGGGAAACCACTCATAGCTATACAGTTCTTTCTGATCCATACATAACTGCGGGTCAGATCGATATCTCGTCTCCGCGCATAATGGTCTTCATGCTTCTCTTGAAGCCGTTTTAATAAAGGTTATAATACAAGAAAAGCATAGCATGCCTTCACTCCCCTGTGTCACCTCCCACTTTGATCTTTGTTTCAAATTGAATTTAAATCCATGAAGTAAGTAAAATAGAAATGGGAATTGAGTCCACCAGGTTGAGTAAAACATCAATTTTCTGCTATCAATCATCATAATAGAAGTTGAAAGTAACTATATGTGTGACACAATTTGCACTAATCCTCTGCAATCGCATCAATTTTATGCTATTATTAGTTATGACTGTCATCACCCATCCCTGAAAAACACTGAAGGGATAAAAACACAAAGAATGAATGAGCACCAGCTCAACCACACACACACACACACACACACACACACACACACTGAAAATACCTTAACTCCTCTTATTCCCACGTTACCAGTCTCTCCCTGTTCACCCTTACGCCCTGGCAGTCCATCTTTTCCCAGTAATCCCTAAAAGTCACAAAAAACCCACAAATCACCTCTGCTTTTTGTAACTGATGACAAATCTACACACAGGTAATAAAGAAGCTGCAGTGTGATGGAAGCTAAACACCGACCGATTCACCAGGTACTCCAGGTTGGCCTGCTTCTCCCTGCAGAGACAAAACAGTAATTACAGCAGTGAAATTACTACAAAATCATCATCCATGAGCGGCGTTGCTTGCCTTCTGCCCACCAGGTCCTCTGGCACCTGGGAAACCGGTAGATCCTCGTTCTCCAGGTTCTCCTCTCAAACCCTAATGTTAAGTACACACATGCACATAAATATAGATATTGATCTTCTTACAGATCAATACAGTAGCATTTTGATTTTGATTTTTTTCTGTGGCAATATAACAATATTTAAATCATTTTAAGGTTGGAATTGATTCCTGTGAAATCCCAAATCAATATCTTAGCCTGCATGGCCAACACATACACTTCATCAATGATTTTGCATTATGGATCAGTTCTTTAGAGTAAACACAATAAAAATGCACTAAAAATTCTTTAATGCTGAAACATTGTTAACAAAAAAATAGTTAATACAAAAATCTGGCATTATCAACCAAAAATTCCAAATATTTGTTGAATGTAGCCAAACAGGCCTAAAAAATATAATTAAGTAGACAACATATAGGCAGACATACTCAACACTGCTGTAACCCCAAATGGCCACTTAAGACTGCTTCTAAAAGCAAGTCAATCACAATCAAACTGTCCAATTAATTAAAAATAAGGAAAAAAAATTAGATCGATTAAAAAAGCAGCTAACAGCTAATTTACTCCTCCATCATGGTAAAATATGTTTATTACAAGGTTTGGCCAGATAGTGCCAGTGGGTTTAACACTTTACCTTAGATGTTTTTTTGTGCATTTTTTAGGCAAATATTTGACAAACATTATGGATTACAGTGCAGATATTTTTACACAACACCCAAGACGAGTCACTGCTGTGAAGTTTTAATGCCCCCTTATTCACGAGGGTTCGCCACAGCAGGTTGCGCCACATGTTTGATTTGGCAGATTGTTTTTCTTTTAACAACGGATGCCATTCCTGACACAATCCCAAACGGATTTCTTTCTCCTCCCTGAGAAACAAAGGTCGCGAAAGTGTAAACCACTACTCTAGTTGTAGTTGTATTTGTATGTTATCAATCTCGGGTATCTCTGTGTGTGACATTGATGCAGCTTTCTAAATATATTTCTAGTGCTGGCTGATAACTCTAAATATTGCCACAAATAAGGCACAAGATGATGTTCATACAACTTCAGCCAAGCAAGTCCATATCTATTATTTACAGTCTATAGTTTCAGCTTCTGAAATGCAGCAGTTCCTTTCATCTAGTCGCCATAAATTATTTATCTTAACTGACAACAACCTTAATTGATGGGCTGCTTTTCTGACATTATTCAAACCAAACAGTTAATTAATTCATCTTACCACTTCTCCTGGTGGACCATCTTGACCTTTTACCCCCTTTTCTCCTTGTATACCTTTGGGTCCTCTGTCACCCTAAAAGCAACAACAGTAAAATTCAGAACACGTTTTTTTTTTTTTAAAATATTACGCTATCATAACTAAAGTCAATATTTAGCCACAGTAAATGGTGTCATGCATTTGTTGTTCACTGACTGTTTCTCCTTTGTTGCCCTTTTCTCCAGGAGGTCCTCCCACCAGCACAGTGTCCCCCTGTAAGTGATACTACATCTGTAAGAATCCGCTATAAGCCCCAAGCCAAACACACAACGCTTTATCCTTTTGTCTCTTCTTTCACTATGCATCTTGTAATATCACAGGTCATTACCATTGTATGTATTTATAAATTCCTCCTGCTCTCAAGGAGCCAAATCTGTTGTAAGAGTTCTTTTTAGTAACAGCCACATCTGAGACATGATTTATTTAGTCCTTTATCCATTCACTGTCTCTGCCGCCTTTACAAATATACACAAACAGACAATCAACAGAGTGAGAGAGTGAGCAGTGGTACTGCTTATTAGATATTAAAATGTACACACCTTCTCTCCTTTGTCACCTTGCGGCCCGCTGTCTCCCTGAAAAGCCATTGCATTCAAGCGTGTCAATTTAATTCACTACTTTACATGAGCAGAAAGCTCAGGGGAAGTAGCTAGGATGATGACAGAAAAAAAAAAAGAGGACCAGTGGTATTTACCTTCTCTCCCCGAGCCCC